TAAAAAAAAAAAAAAAAAAAAAATTCTTCACAAACCCTATATTACTCATGACTAGATTATGTATTTTCATTTTGCACAATGTGTGAATCGTGAATTTGATTATGATTTCTATTTTTCACACTTCTGATAGCTATTGCTAATTGCTATATTTTTTGTATTGTACATGTTTTTTTGTCTTTTTTTTCTTTGTTTTCTAATTTTATTTCGTTGGATTAGTTATCTTATTAAGTTCATGTGACACTTGCTTGCAAAGGGAGAAAAAAATGTTGTAATGAGGTTTGATTAGTGTGTATGATATGATTTAGTGATTGGGGGATTTTTTGGAGAGGAAAAGAGAAATATGAAGGAATTTTCATTTCTTCTAATCTTGTTTGTTATGGCCTTATAGGGGATTGTCTTTTATAGATTTTGCACTTTTGGTTTTGAGAAATAATTTATATATTGTTATTTTTGAATGGTTGATCATAGCTATATAATGTATAAATGGTGAGTTCAAATCAAATATTTATATTTGAACTCATATTTGACTTGAATAAATGGGCATATGTGGCTTATATTGGTATTGTGAAATTTTCAGAAATTTTTTAGGCATCTACGCTCGTTGAATTATGCCAAAAATTAATAGAGAGTGGTAGATCGAAAGTGTATGTTATGTTAACTAGATTGATCCATCTAGTTCTAACATTACCGGTTTCTACCGCTACAACCGAACGAGCTTTTCAGCCATGAAGCATGTGAAGACAGTACTTCATAATAAGATTGGGGATGGTTTTCTAGAAGATTGTTTGATTCTCTTCACCGAGCGGGAGTTTACTAATAGTATAAGTATAGATTATATTATTGATGAATTTTATTTTGTAAAAGCTCGTCGAGCGTAACTCAGTAAATATTTCATGATATTTTTTAATAAAACTATGTATTTAAAATTCTAGCCCAGTCTACTCTTAATTTCTAGATCCGTCCTGTAAGGAAGATCAAAATATGTCCTGGTGGCTACAGGTTAAATGGCCGCATTGTACACAGTCTAATGCAAGATGGGCTCCCATATTTTAAATTTTGTATACATAATAAAAAAAAGGGTTAATTGCAGATAAAATCCTAACTTTTTGTTAAATTGCAAATAAAATTCTACTTTTTCAATTTGGTAAAATTAATACTAACTTTTCCTAAGTATTGCATATTTGTCTCCAAATGGTTTTCCGGCCAAAAAAGCTGACATGGCGAACCGGAAAAATGACGTGGCACCAGACTTGATTACGTGGCACTCTTATTATAAAGATCAGCTCGACATCATTAGCCACCTCATTGACACGTCACCTAATTGGACACATCAATCAACGCCACGTCAATAGCCCCATTTTATCCGCCCCATTTTCTTCATCCCAGCCCTAATCTTCTTTCCACAGGCACTCACACACACACACTCACACACAGAGTAAGTCACATAGGAAGTATATAAACATTGAAAAACTATCTGATAAATATGATGAATTTTCTGAAGCAATTATACAGTTACAAAAATGCAACACTTCTTCTGGGATCAATTCGAGCTGAAGAAATTAATTCGAAATTAAGAAACACCAAAAAATAAAATCAAATTAAGAAACACATACATGCTATAATCGAAATTAGGAAACACTAATCAATTAATTCGAAATTAAGAAACACTAAACAATTAATTCGAAATTAAGAAACATATAATACTCAAATGAAGTTATTAATTCGAAATTCGATTTCTTCCCCCATTTTCGCAGACGGGCGGAGAAGATGATAGCCGTAGGTAGGGTTTTCAGCTTGCAGACGTGATTTGCAGACAGAGATGAAGGAAGATTGGCAAAAAAAAAAAATTTAAAAAAAAAGTAACAAACAAAAGGGTACTGAAATCCCGTCAGCCTCGTCGTGTTCGTCCAATGAGGGTGGAGTGTTTTACGTTTCAATCCCTTCGTTCTCCTCGTTGCGCTCGCAAAACGTCCGACCACTGGCGAGATATCTTGTTCGGCCTCGTTCGGTTACGAAGGATCAATTAGCTAGGGCAACAATTTGAGGGCTGCAAATGGGGAAGAAATTGATTGAAATCGATTTTAGGGCTGGCTGGAGTAGAAATCGAAAGGATGAAAAACGGGGGTTGAAGGAAGGGAGAGAATTTTTTTTCTCTCTTCTCTGCGGGAGAAGAAAAGGGGATGAATTCGGGGCTGGGATGAAGAATATGGGGCGGATAAAATGGGGTTATTGACGTGGCGTTGGTTGATGTGTCCAATTAGGTGACGTGTCATTGAGGTGGCTAATGACGTGGAGCTGATTTTTATAATAAGAGTGCCACACAATCAAGTCCGGTGCCACGTCATTTTTCCGGCTCGCCGTGTCAGCTTTTGTCGGCCGGAAAATCATTTGGAGACAAATATGCAATACTTAAAAAAAGTTAGTATTTTTTTTGCCAAATTGAAAAAGTGGAGTTTTATTTGCAGTTTAACAAAAAATTAGGGTTTTATCTGCAATTAACCCTAAAAAAAATCATAATTACAAGACGTGAGAGAACCTACTTTTGAAAGAGCGCCGAAAGAATTCAGAATTGGAAATGAAACGACTGAAAAAATATAATTATTCCATGGAAATACTCCCTCCATTTTGAAATATAAGGCGTATAAAGATTTCTCATTTTTTTTGAAATATAAGGCGCGCTAAAAAATCAAGACAAATTTTTGTATTTTTTTCCAAATATACCCTCATTGTGTTGAAATTAAGGAAGTATGGAGTGGTTGTGATTAGAGTAAATAAGGTTAATTTAGTCAATTTATTCATTAATTAATGTCTCCTTAATATTTGTGCAATAACCTTAAATGCCTTATATTTCAAAATGGAGGGAGTAGTTTGGTATATGCTTTAAATAACGTTTATATTATAGAAAACTAATCACCGAAAGTAAAAGAGTTGATAAACTTGGAATTCAAGGATACGACCTAAAGTATCATTTGGTACCCAAAATTTTCAATTCAGGTAGTCCAATTGAAGGAAAAAATGGATAATTTTTTTTGACATTTTTTTGCATGTTAAAATCATTATTATTGCCTGATATGATAACAAATTACATGACTCATGAGTGACCATAATTGTGTCAGCCACGCTCTGCAGTTAATAGAAGTCATCAAGTCATGGGTATGCTTCTATAATTAGAAGAGCTCGCATAATTTGAAAGTACATCATCCGTGATTACTAGTGTGTTAATTAAAAAAAAAAAAATGTATACTAAAATTCTTTAAGAAAAGTAAAAGAGAATTTTATTTATTTATCTATTTAAAATTTAAATATTCTATTAAAAATTGTATTATATTTATATTTAAAATAAGGCTTTTTATTAATACAATTTGTCTGTTTATATTATAATAAGATTTTAAATTCATATATAATAAATTTATAGATAACTATTTTAGTTGATCTATAATTTTATTAATTTTTAAGTAGTATTAATAGATGAATTAATTTAAAAAAATAAAAGTACTTATTTATTTTATATGTGCAATATAGATGTCAAATTGAAGTTTATGAAAAGATAAATTATTTGATATATTATCATATATAATTAACAAATACAAATAATTTATTTTTAAATTTATTTATAGTTTAAATCGATAAAGTATTTTACGATTTGAAAAAATTTAATAGGCATAGATAGAATCCATATTTAATAAGCATGGATAGAATATAGATTTAATTATGGTGTTTTGTAATTTGTCAAATTCTAATTCTAGTGTCGATTTCTCGTGGCTCAAATTATTCCATCGAATTAATCAATGTAAATTTGGATTTTATCTATGCCTATTAGTATTTTTATAATCATAAAACAAGTTATCAACATAAACATTAAATATAATAAAAGTTATTTTTAATAAATGTCTGTACTTTTTTTATAGTTTTTTTTATATAATATATTATCATTTTTTGACGAGATTCGAGTTAAAATCCTTGTTAGATATTTCAAAAAAAAATTATATTTATATATATGAATAAAAATTAGATTATCTCATATTACCTAATCTATATTTATATTAAAAGGTATATCATTTACCAAATTTAGTATAAAAAAAAGTCAACAACATTTATTGCATTACTATTTCCTTAGTATAAGATCATAGAGTTGACCATCTCGAATGCATTTGACAAAATCAACAGCACTCTTGGAAGAACATGATTTACAATAAAAAGTAAACACAATTGGGAAGGTAAAAATCTTACTCAATTGTCGCATGCACTTTTTACATTGGAATCTGAACCGTTAAATCACACAACGCATCGCAAACACACAAATTCGTGCAAATATGTTTTAATCCGACGGTTAAGAAACAACCCATCTTTCTTCTTGCATCTCACACCAAATACATTTTGAAAATACACACACAAAAGCCCATCTTTATTTGCCCATATACCCTATAAAAACACACAAACCACGCACAAGTTGCCAAACACCATACAAATACAATCCCTCCCTCCAAATCATTC